AATGATTCTATGATTCTGTGATTCTATAACTTATCAATAATGCATAAAACAAGATATTATTAATACCCATGAAATCTGGCTGTGGAGATAGTTCAAAAAATGAGAGTTTTGACTTACCTGCTTCGCTTAGATTATTGTGCAGTCTGCTTTTATGTGATAAAACCTGTTCTTATTTAGTTTCATTATGACATACAGCTTGCTTTACTTTTCTCACCACCACCACTGTAAAGTTATACAGAATAATAAAGAATGTATTTCTATCCTGGTACCAGCCCTGAATCTCCCTCAGGTAGTTTTGGCTTCTTTGCTCCCACAGGTACATTTCTGTTTGTGTCTTTCAGATTGAGGCTAACAGCACTTACATCCTATTCCATCCAAGTTCAGATAATTGCTAAAACCACTTTAATTTGTCTGTTTGAGGAAAGCTGTAGCTTGCTGTTCTAATAGAAGCACACCTGTCAAATATAGTGCCATATTAGCAGATCTGATCAGCCTGCTTTACTGAATTTAGCCATTTTGCTTTATCCGTCACTCTTCCATAGTAAGTTGCTGAAAGATCAGGAATTTTTGCAGCAAATGGCTTTTACTGATAGTTTCTTGCCTGCTTGGAGGATCTGCAAATAATACTGTGGTCTTTAAGGGAAGAAATGAATCCCAGCCAAAATCAAAATTTAATGAAACATCAAACTTCAGAATTGTTTGTGGCACATCCTCTCATTATGATACTTCTCACAAATTAATAAAGCCATTAAGATACTTATGAAATAATGAACCCCTAACCCATTTTCCTTCTCTTCTTTCTTTACTTATTACTAGTGCTTAGGTAATTGTCACTATGGGGTATCCTCTGACTGCTGTGGTAGCCTGTATCTCCAGGTCAGCCAGAAGTACAGGAAGCTGGCTTCTAAAATGATTGACCAAATTCTTGCCCATAGTGAATGCTCCAACCTGCCTGGTGGGAAGATTTTGTTATTGATATTGGGGAAAATGTTTTGCTTTTGTAAGAAACCCTCTGAGACATGTAGTATGGACTCCTCACAGAAAAGCATGGCTGGCATGTAGGCAGGAAGGACAAGTTTGATCTGTCCCACATCCATCGCTTCAGTACTGAACAGTAAATGGTACTGAATATTGGCTTAGATTCCTCACTGACCTTTTTATTTGGTATGGAGGAAATTCTTACCCAACTGCATGGATGTATGAGAACCAGGCACATTCTTGTCCCAAATAAATTTCTGACATTGCTTGGTAAAGGCTGTGAAAGTATCTTACAGGGCAAATTAGTGCAATATTGTAGTTGAAGAGTTTGCTAAAGAAATTTTAAGTGAAACTACTTTACCCTGTGGAATTGTTACAAAAGAATGAATTTGATGTTAGGCAACCATTTCCATTTCTGCAGTATAGAAGTAGTCTGGGAAGTTGGATCTGATCAGTCTTCTTCCACACCACCTCCTATTCACTCACTCACACATGCACACACACACAAAATTCAGACACTGCTAACTAGACTCCTGCATCTGTGGTCTACTTAAAATACGTTTTCTGGGGATGATTAGGGAAGAAAACTTTGAAACCTAAAGAATTCAGGGACCTAGTGTATTCTTTTGTATAACTGATTTCTCAGTTATACAAAAGTGTCACCATAGCTATGAGAGAACCATCTTCTGTTTATGTTGATGCTACACATAAGGATTCGATTCCGATCTCGGGGATCCTCATTATGCACAAATCCCTGTTTCCATTTCTTTTAAAATACAAGTTTCTGGACCATGTTTACATTTCACATCTTCCAGCTTCTCTCCCAAAAACTCCCAGACCCAGGCAGCTGGGGGTGGGGGGCTGGCAACCAGCTGGAGGATTTTGTTTCATTACTTTCATCTGACGTGGGAAGAAAACTGTCTCCTGGTTGTTGCCTGTACTGCTGATGCTATGATCACTTCAGTGGATGAACCGTGGAGAAAAATGGGCTGCTTTCCTCAAATGCTATTATTAGGCATGAAGGCAGTTAGGGGGCTTCCCTGTGGAGCTTTCCGTTTTCTACCTTCCTACAGTGCCAGAATCAGAAGAGATTCAGGAATGATGTAAATCCAAATGTGTAGTAGAGACAGAAATAAGTTATTTTAGAAGCCGGGAGATTAGGAACTACTGCTTCAACTGTTGCTTAAGCCAAAGTCTCAGCTGCAACAATCATTGCTCTGGGACTTCTACTCATGTTCCAAGGATGGGGCAATTCAAGCAGCATAGCAAGTTGGACACTACACAAGCAGGCAGATGTGTGCTGCAAGCACACTTACTCTGACAACCAACTTTCAGTTGGATTTTCTGCTCCTGTATGTGCTGGGCACAGTCATAGGTGCAGGTGTTTCCTTTTTTATGGATTACTGTTTGTCTAATCTGAGACAAAGCAATTGTACTTTCTATTTCATTGTAAGCCATCTCTCAACTGTCTTTTCAGGTTGGAGCAATCCCTGCAAATGCAGCTGATGATGGACAGTGGTCTCAGGGACTTATTTCCGCTGTGAGTAACTACTTCTCGTAAGGAAAACTAGCACCTTCTCTGAAGAAATAATATCCTGTGAGAATACACAGTGACTTTTTTTACTGTCTCCTAGGCCCGAATGGTGGCAGCTGCAACCAGCAATCTCTGTGAAGCAGCTAATGCCTCCGTACAAGGCCACGCTAGTGAGGAGAAGCTCATCTCATCCGCCAAACAAGTGGCAGCTTCTACAGCACAGTTGCTTGTGGCTTGCAAAGTGAAGGCTGATCATGACTCTGAAGCCATGAGGAGGCTACAGGTACTTGTGTTCTTAATTACTGAAAACCTGTAGTAGTGCTATGTAAATGCTGTTTTAGAACTGGGTGAACAAACCCCAGATTTTAGGAATAGTTTCTTGAATTTTCGTAATTCTGTTCTGTTTTTCTTCCTTGTGGGATTCTGGGGCACTTTCATTCATCAAGGATGAAGTGATGTGCGTTTGTCATTATTCAGCAGTAGCTACAGCTCACTTCACTGCTTGCTTTAGTCTTCATTTTTAAAAGATGTTGAGAGATGCAAATGTTGACTGGCTTGTGCCAAGCCCTGGTTTAGGTGCAATATTCATAGATTTCGTATTCGTGATAAGCCACAGGAATACATGAGCTGAGAATGTTTACTACATGCATTTTTATAGAGGCTGAGTATAGTTGGTTTCTCTGCAATTATTCTGCGTTCAGTTAGACTCCCAATGAGCTTGCAAACAAGTAAGCACACTTAACTTGGTTGCACATAAGTATGCTCCTGACTTCTGCAAGATTATGCATATGTTCAACAAAGTACTTACCTAAGTGCCAGCCTGGGTTGTGGTCAGTTCTCCTTTGTTTCTAGGAGTCAAGACACAGCAACTGTAGATAGAACATTTCTAAAATGGAGAATCATTGTCAGACAAAAACAAAAACAGGAGCTGATGCAACCTCTCAGCTAAAGTCTGATTTAACTTTTCTACATGAAACTGGTTCCCTTTTACATTACACATCCATTTCATGTTGCGCTTCTCTGAACTATTACTGAATTAACACTGTTATGATGGGTAAAATCTAATGTGTCCAGAAGTTTTGTTTAAGGGTGTTCATTTTAAAAATGGCTACAGTCTTCTCTGACACACTGTCCTGCAGGCTCAGCCTGGAATGTAAGAACTATTTCAGCTCCTTTTTTCATACCATCACCATGGAATATCTTTGGTGATAGTGAAATTTCCCCTTTTTCTCTTATTTGCACAGATGCTACTAATGGACAGTCAATGTAACAGTTCATGTATGGATAGAATCAAGTCCAACAGAAATACATATGACTAAGTAACTGTCTGAGCAAGAGGAATTGATGTCATCATTTTTTTCAAAGTAGAAAAATGGGTTAAACATTTAGGAGGAAAAAATAAATATATGAGTGTGTGAAAAATCTGTTTGTTTCTATAGAAAACACTGGCATGTTAATGTTATCTCTAGGGTTTTAGTGCTTTATAGTGGATTCATATAGACTGACTTTGTCAAGGGTCTGTGGGGGAGGTATCAGTAACTGGAAGATAGTTCTGACTGTAATGCAACCTGCACTTTAATATCCAAATGCCAAGACGAGTCTGAAGGAATTTTAAATGCAGAACAAACAGTAGAAACAGGAACAAAATCAAGTACTAGAGACTGTGTTTTCTCAGCTCTGCCAGGAAATTCAGGGTACTCAGTCATTGTAGGAAAATATTATTAAATAGACATTGAATGCGAAAAGCGGGAAGGGAATGTGAAAAGGAAACAAGCCCAAGCACGGATTGGAATTGAACTTTGCCACTTTACCAAGCTTCATGTTAGTCCCAAAATGAATAATGAAAGGAAAAGCAGTTTGCACTTGGAAATAATGTCCTTTATCATAGCAAAACCAGTGAGTTGATGCCTACCAAATATTTTTACTGGTGGATTTGCCGAAACTACTGAGGCTTTTCAGCTGGCTTTGCCCCCAGCACAAATGTTTTCACATAGCTTTAATCAATAGATTAGGTTCAGGAGTTTAAGTGTATGAGTTTTCTCTTTCCTACCCCACAAACAACTGCAAGCTTTGGGAGAAGACATTTGAACTGCATTTCCCATGAATGTTAACTTGGAATGCGCTGTTACAGAGTCTGTTCCAAAACTTAATGAAACAAATGGAAATGTTTCCGTTCTCTTTGGATAAGCTCCAGACTGAGCAGAGCAAATTTCAAGTAATTTGTCCTTGGGTCATCTCGGGTGGGAAGAGAGTTAAGTTGAAAGGGAGATGAAGCTGGAAATACGGAATAGGACTGGGGGCACGTGGGGGGTAGGTTCAGAGTTGGTCCATGTGGCTCCCCCTCCTAGTGCTGGTGTGTCTCCAGCATGTGAGAGCAGGCTGTCTTGGCTAGTGGCCTGTGTGGGAACGAGTGTTCTCAGCACACATGACACCTGGGGACATCGGGAACCATGGGACAGAGATCTCTACTCCTGTTCTCTCTCACTGCCTGTCACTGCAACTACCTACCCTTTTTCTGCACATTGTGAAAGCATTAATGTTGTTTTTTGGTGGTGTTGACTGATTTGCTGTTAGATACTAGGGTTTAGGGTTTAATATGAGAACAGCCTTACTGGATCAGACCAAAAGTTCCTTAAGCCCATTCAATATCCTGATTCCAGCAGCGGCCAATAGGAAATGCTTAGAGAAGCAAGTAAGAACAGGGTAAGCATGCGTGATACTATTCTCTACTATGTTCTTAGATTCCAAGCATTTTCAACTCGGGAACTTCCCAAGCCAGATGCAGATTCTGTATGTTTAGTAACCCTGAGTTGTCTCCTCTTAATTTATCCAGTCCTCCTTGACCCCATGTAAACTTTTAGAGTCTAATTAACTCTTCTTGGGCAGTAGATTAAGCTAGGACAGCTGTACCTATGTCTGTCCCCACCTGCTTCTGCTGGTTTAAATCCATACAGTATGAATAGCTAGATGACATGCAAATCCACTCCTGTAGCACGCAGGTCTCAAATTTCATTTACAGGATAGGCACCTTCCCAGTGCAGGGGTTCTAGCAAGTTTTAAGCATTCGCATACTTCTCTTCATGAAGTATTCAGTTGCTCTTGAGAGTACCTGCTACAAAGTAATGCTGTGCAGCATTACAGAAGTCAGTTTGAGTAGTGATAAATTCATGTCACTTTGACCAAGCTATGTTACTGCAGGAGTGTTGATAACACGTTGCTTCTCGTATCTCAACTAAATTCTTCACAATTAAGTAAGATATCTCTCCATAGCATTCCACTGTGCACTGAAGACTTATGCAGGGTAACAGGTGATCTAGGTGTTCCTCTTGCTTAGGAGGTGGAAATATGTTTGAATGGTGCTCTGTCCCATTCTCTAAAGTTGTTTCTTTGCTAAAGCACTTGAAATACATTTGAGGGCCCACCTTTCAGTATTTGTATGTATAATTGAGTAGAAAACATATAGCTAGGTCCCCCAGTCAGTCCCTCAGAAAGAGTGAGCCATGACCTCTCTTAGCACTAAGTCCACATCAGCCCAGAAGTTTCTTTTCCTGCCTCTGTCCTGATGAATACATAAAGAGGTGGAAAGGAAGAGGATTCCAGTAAGAGCCAAGAGGGAGGCATAGGTCAAATTTTGGTGTATCAACCAATTTAAAACACAGAATATTAGACATAAGACTTATCTGGGACTCACAAATTTAAAGGACTGCCAGTGGTATATGAAAGACCTCATTTACACCTCCATGTGCAGTAGCCATTAAACCATGGACCATTCTTCTCCCAGAGCCAGCTTTCCACCACTTTCACCAGTTCTTAGTATACTGGAGCAAATTCAGTGCCAGATCTTACAATGCTGAGTCCTATACTACCGTCACCTGTCTGCACAGGCTATTTCCTAGCCAATGGTCTTCAAGAACCCAGTGCTGCAAAAAAGGTGCCAGCTCCATCTTTTAGCTTTAGTAGAAGAGAGGTTTGCATTTTGTTTGTGACAAGGACTCTTCTTCCACTCATCTCCATGCGGATCACAGTAGGAGATTCCAAGGCCACTCCTGTGGTATCCTCCTCTGTATCCATTAAACCAGTGCCCGTGGACATGGTCATTACTGAGCATGCAGTGTGGAATCTCTACTGCCAATATGTATTACAGTATAGCAAAGATAGCTTTGTCAATGTTAGAAGGCAGATAGCTTAGTTACCTTTTTCTTTTTGACGCACAATTGCTGATGCTACTCAGTTTAGACAACAAGATGTATTACAAATGTTTGACTGTTTATCTTTAGAAATCTGAGAATTTTTAAGGAAATAAAATTTTAAATGTGAGATAATCATGGCTGTGTAAATGGCTAATTTGCCCTGATGAAAGTCCATTAATTTAAAAACTTCATTGCCTTAAAATGTTTCCTTATATGCTAGCTTTCATTTTCTGTTCTTCTTTCTCAAAAAAAAAAATCTGATCAGTGTTGTGCATAACATAACTTGCGATTTCATCCACTGTTTTATTTTAAAATCTTGTTTGTGACTTTCCCAGCTTCCAGCTTCTTAAATAAAGGAATTGTGTTCCTCTCTGTACCATTGATTTTGAAAGATTAATTTGCTTTTCACTGGGAAAAACACAACAAAATACACCTTTCCTGCATAGTCAAGCAAAGATGTTTTAGTTTTGATGCTCAGATGAATCCATGTCAGTTATGCGTTTTTGTTACTACTAAATTTCTTTTGTCTTTTTCAAAGGCTGCAGGAAATGCTGTCAAGCGAGCATCAGACAATCTTGTCAGGGCGGCCCAAAAAGCAGCATTTGGGAAAGCAGAGGATGACGATGTTGTGGTCAAAACAAAGTTTGTGGGTGGCATTGCTCAGGTTGGTACAATCACCCAAGAAGTAAAGCAGAGAAAAACTATCACAGAAATGTAGCATAGTGTTACAATGTCCATCTGCGGCATTGCAGGCCAGACAAATCTATGTAGAAATCTATGATAAATTACTTGATGCCTCGCTGTTAGGTAACCACTGACATAACAGCAAAGTGATATGCTGTAAGATGTCTCCACTTCTTCATTGAGCATTTACCGTAATAGCAGTTACTTGTCCAATATCTTTTTTTTTTTTTGTTCTGATGAAGTTAACAGTTCTTTTCAGACTTCTCTTATGTACTTTAAATATTCCTAAATCTTAATGGAACACTAGTTTTGTGTGTATATAATCAAGAAAATAGAGAGTGAGAGATAAGAACTGATGACATTTCATTACTGTGAGCATAATAAATATGGGGAGATAATAACAATATTTAAAAATAGATTCCAAGGCTTTGAGGTTGTACCAACTTCTGGATTTACTGTTATGAATAAAGAACACCATATACTGTGGTCACTACTTAAAAGATATTGAAATTTATTATTTCTGCATGCCTGAAGTACTGTCATTTTTCCTTTGGCATTTTGAGATGCAGGAAAATACTGTGGATACCTGCAGTAATGAGTGTTCAATTTTACTGTCACTCAAACATTATGTTAAGACATGGTGCGTATCCTACATGTGCTAACCCCTCACCCCGATGAATGTTGGAGGAGCACAGCACTATAAAATCCATCATGGATGTATGGTAAAACTATGCTGGTAGATTCTTTTTCTCTTTTTTTAGTCCTCTTTAAGAAACAAGTGGGAATACGATACTGTTCTTGATGGCATAGTCCTGGAACCTGGAAAAATTTGAGCAATTCCTGCCAAAGTTATTGAAATTTGGTGCTTCTCTGGAGAATGCTCAAGGCCTAGCTGTGACTGGTGTCACAGAGAAAGAAATCTTGTTTTACAGACAGTATTCTTGCTGTCATAATTCATGCTTCTATTTTCTAGATCATTGCAGCCCAAGAAGAAATGCTGAAGAAGGAAAGAGAGCTGGAAGAGGCAAGGAAAAAACTGGCTCAGATCCGCCAACAGCAGTACAAATTTCTACCCACAGAGCTGAGAGAAGATGAGGGTTAACCTGCTGAGATGTTCTTTTTTTTTTTCTTTTTTTTTTTTCCCTTTTTTTTTCTTTTCTTTTAAAGAAATAAGCTAAAGAGGGACAGTACAGTGAGAACTGCTCTGACAACATTCTGGTATGCCAACCACTTACCTAAATAAACTGCCTGTCATAGCTTTGGATGAGCAAAGGGCAATAAACACTTGTTCTTTCTCATCTGGTCAGCTGAGGTGCATGATGATCAAATAATGGTACAGTGTTAGGTTCATCATTCCTGTTGCTTCCTTGACTTATATCTCAGGAGAGAATGTTTCACTTTTTACTAAAAATACTAAGTCAGTATTATTGTCACTTTCCTGATGCTTGAGGTATTTATCGTTCCTTGACTTGTAATAAAACGTTCATAATATTAATAGGAAAACAGTCAAAAAATCTTTCATATGATAAATATCACATGAGCTGGTGGTTCTCTCCCAACTACCCTTGTAAAAAGACCAAGAAGGAGAAGGATGTATGTCTGAGTGGAGAAACACACGTGAGTGTGGGTTTGAAGAAGATGCCTGTCCTCTTTCAGTGTTATATAGCTGGTTCACCCCAAAACTGGAGGAATTGTCTCTGCACCTGTTTGCACTAGTAGTATTAGTCCTCACCTGATACCAACAAGCTTCTGCTTGTACAGTATTTAGGTTTACAAAATGTGGCAATAGCCATTCTTTAAAGAGCTCAGAAAACAAAGAAATGGAAACCTTGTCACTGCCTCAATAATAGCAGGTTCATGAAGGAAAATGCTGTTTCAATTATATACCTCTAATGTGTGACTACTTTTACAGTATTATACACACATACACATGCTCTAACATTGGACTGAATAGTTTGCATTTTGTTTTTTAATTGAAGTTATCTGGTTCGTACTGTGGGATTTCTGTTAGAATGTATGTTAGTTAAAAAAGGGAAATGCCCAGTACAACAAAAGACTATCACAACTCTTGTTATTCATTTAATAATTTCATTTATAATTATTTTGTTTTTAAACCTGTGGGTATTGTAGGAGAAAAGAATAAGTGATTTACCTATAATATACTTTAAAAAAATCTGAATTCTAGGGAGTTTGTTTTCATAGTTTGTATTGATGAAAATGTACTTACCAAGGAATTGCAGAGAAGGAATAGCAGCAATCTATCAGCAGTCTTTCTCTTCAGCTACAGAAAGGTACGGTATGCTGTCAATATCTCTGTTGTGACCTAAACAACAGCAATATGGGTAGAGTGAGTAACACATTTTACCCTGTCAAAGAAAGAACACAAATCACAGAAACTTTAACTAGCAAAAGCTGAACTATTTGACTAACTACAGAAACACCATCTCTTCTAACAACAATTTCCAACATGCCTCCAACTCCACTCAAGCCCTCTTAAACAATAATGTCAAGTCTATTTAGGTCAAAAGATGTTGCCACTCCAGTCCTTTTGAAGGCTGTGCTGTCATTTAGATACCTGCCAAGTACATTCAGCTGAGCCTGTTCTGTTATATGCATACCCACCTAGTTGTCATTGTTGCAGAAATACTTGTCTTGTAGACTCAAAAGTAACCCCCGCTAGTGGTAGGTCTGCCAGCTTAGATAGTGCTAACTCCTCATTTAAGTTACCTGCATGAGATATAATTATCAGGAATTTTGTCACACTAGTGTTAAATATATAGCAAAATATGACTAGAGAATTAATAAATATTAAAGTGTACAAAGATTTTTATTGTTAGAGTCTCTTCTCTGGTACTGACGTATTTCAGACTCAGTAGAGTTGCTGGAGAATCCACAATCATGAGAGGAAAAAATTGGCAAATCCCAAATGGAATCACCGGCATCAACAGATGTGCTGTGATGTGTAGGCTTGTGTGCATAATGCAAACCCTTACTATCAGAGATGTGCAATTCTGAGTTCTGTAATTTTCCACTTCAGCACAATTGATTTCATTTTTTTCACTCAACTCACTGTGAGCAGTGTCACAGAATCTCGATGTTAAGAATTCCTACACAAAAAAAAAGGCTTCCTGTAAATTTTTAGGCAGAAGGCTAATTTGGTGTTTACTGCTGTAAGACCTAAATAAAGACAGCTCTAGTGATAGGGATTTTCTGCTGCCATTGGTAGGTCCAGCTTCTTTGCAGCTCTTTCTCTTTTTTTATCTGGATAGCCTCACATTCCCATCTCTTTTTCGGAAAGATCTGCCAGACAGATTTGTTACTGCTTCCCTTTCAACCTATGTTTAACCTATTTATTTGGTCTCATTAAAGCACGAAGAAAGACGATGCTGTCCTTAGCACCATGCCAGTGTTTTATTGTAGGTGTAATACTGTTGTAATATATTTTAATCGGGGTGATATTTGCCAATTTGAAAGAAGCCAAAAGCCTGGTCAAATGCAACTATGTATGGAAATTGTATAGCTAGAAAACTTCACCAGTATGTAGAAGGAAAGAGCATGCTCAAATTGTGTTCCAGATAAATTTGTTTGGGAAGTCCATTTTAGCACAGTTATTTTGAGACCTCTCTATTTCTGATTTAATGCCCCCTCTTATTTGACAGAAAGTATTGTTCTTTTTTCTCCTTAGCTATGTGCTCCATAGAGGAACCACAGTCAGATGAATAGCTGAGCTGAACAACTGAAGTATTTGTTTACTCTGAATTTTGGGTCTTCATTTGGGAAACATTAAGAGAATATAAGCTCATCTAAAGTCTTTCTATTTCAATTTTTTCTTGCTCTTATAATTTGCAGTACCACTGAAGTCCACATGTGAATGTCTGTGGAGTTTGGAACTAGTCCATGCGTTTATTTGGCATGGAGACTTGCAAGAGGAAGTGACAAGTTGGAGTAAGGGATGGAAGCTAGTTAATACGAAGGACAGATGTTTACTTTGTTCTGTTAATTTGTGAAACAGTAAATGAGCTCTGTTGTATCAGCCGCCTTCATGTGGAATTCACTTTAAGGAATTGTATGCAAATTAAAAGCAAAATGCCTCAAAGTTGTTTGTGTACAAATAGTCTAGTGTTGTTTCCCCAACTATTCAGAAAATAATTTGAACATTTTATCATTTGTCTAAACTTTTCTACATCAGAAGTCTCAAAGTAAGAAAAGTTTTAAAACAAAAATTGAAGGCTAGATTCTTGTTTCATCTGTCCATTTCCCTTTGATTTTCTACATCTTCATTACTTAATTCCTAATGAAGGGATGAATACATAATCTAGAAACCTCCTCAATGTAAGTATGTTTAGCTCATGAGCACATTTTTGCTTTTAATCAGTCCAAACTGAATAAAATATTCACCCCAGGCATATGGCATGTGCCATCACTACATTTATCTTCCCTACATTTTTATTAATCTCTGGTTTGGGATTTGGGGGGGGGGTGG